TTTTTTTTTTCCTTTGAGGATTGCAAAATTCATCAAATTTCTGCAAGACCAGTTTGTACTCCGGCTGCTCCTCTTGACTGAGTGAGAAACTGTTGTAAACATCTAAAGCCTCAGGCCCAGCAAGTCAGGAATAAAACTCCTTTCCGTCTGTCTTTTCTGTCAATGCCTCACAGATTCAAAACAAAACAGTGCTTCGCTCCCATTTCATTCACGATGCCAGGGCTTCATGGTTTAGCTGGGGCTTTTGCTCGTTCTATCCCACATGGTCCCACTCAAGCCCTCCTTCACCTACAGGGCATCAGAGAGTCTCAGGGACAAACCCTGCCTCTGCTGCCTCCTAGCTGAGTGACTCTGGACAAATCACTTTCTCTATGCCTCAGTTTCCCCCGATGGGACTGCTATTACTTCTTTACCTTGTAGCCTTAGCTGTGAGAATTAAACAAGATGATGTAAAGTACATAGTTGATGCTTAATCAAGGGTAGATGTTATGGCCACTCTGACATTTGGAGGTTTCATTCTCCTCTCCCCTCAAACCCCACCCTGATCTGTCTCCTTGATCTGTCTCTTCCATGGATGACCTATTTATTGAATAAGCACAAGTCTCCACTGCCTGCTGCTTAGATTCTTGAGAACAAGAACTGTGTCTTATACTTCCCTATAACACTGCTGAGTGCAGAGTAGGCAATATATAAATACTTGTTGAATTGAATTGAATAGGTTACTTTCTCATCCAAGGCATTATGGCTCTTCTTTGAATGTTCTATGCAAAGGGAAAGGCCCAGATCCTATTTAACAATCACCTGCAGCCTCTGTCTTGGCTCCTAAGCAGCCTCCATGGTTTGTGTCTGTCAGTCTTAGGAGGCCAGCTCTCTCTCTCTCTCTCGCACAGTTATTGGTTGGCAAGTCTTCACCCATTGTTCATGAATTCCTCAGAAACACAATTGGAGGACTTGCAAGCTGTGCTTTTGGAGAAGATATATGGGTGGTGGGGGGTAAGAGTCAGGGCTAGGAGACACTCTCAGGGTCACCTACCTGGCCTCACAGATCGGACCACCACAGGCTTCTCACTGCCAGCCACGAAGCCAAAGCCATATATAGGGTCTCGGTGAATGGTCACTTGTCGCAGTATCTCTGCTGGCAGCTGTTCACATTCCATATCATTTGCGCTCTCTTCCTGCATCACATGACTGGGGGAAGGGGAAGATGGGAGCAAAACAAGATGCAAAGGGAACTAAGCCTCAGAAGCAGCTGGGAGGGACATTGGTTAGGGTTCTGGTCCTGGCACTCAGGAGTTCACAGCTAGCTTCCTACATCCTGTGGAATCAACACAGGTGATGACTGTCTCCTCTTTTAGATCGGAGAAAGAGGAATCTAGAAAGCAGAAGCCACTGTCTTCAGGGCTATCACCAACAGAAAAAACTGGTGCCACGAGCCTGAAATTAGAGTCAGACCCTTCTTCTAAGACATGGGAACTACAGAAGAGGCCTAATGTAAATGTTTGGCAGAAGTTAACTGGTATCACCCACTGAACTGGCCATTAACTCCCTAAAGGAAACCAAAGGGTATAGAAAACAAAACAGGAAAGTAAGTGGGTAAGAAATATGAAGTTGTTTCAGAACGTGGAGCATCCTCATATGGAACAGTCCTTATACAATTTAAAACTTGGGTATCTCTCAGGTTACCTATCAAAGTAAACAAGGTGGCATATGTGAACAAATGTGCTAATGTTTAGGACCATTACCTTCTATGACTGTACACAACGCTACTTATCTAAGTTAATGAGACAACTGGAAAATGGCTCCTATGGGCCAGAAGGGGAGCTGCGTCCTGGGACTGCCAGAAGACCTGAAACCCAGGGGAGCTGGGAGAAGAGAAACTGCTGCCCTAATACCTGGGAGAGATTACAGATTGTTCTCCCGATACCCACAATTTAAATTACTGAAGCTTAGGAATTCCACAGGAGCATTATAAATGTTCTCCATCAAGGGCAGAGGAGGCATTCTGCTGTCAAGAATGGGCCTTAGTATTCAACTGAAGAGCCCTGAAGGGTGAGGGTGTAGGGACATTGCAGCCTGTGAGGACACTGGGTGCCTGGGGCAAAGGAAGGAGGTAAAAGAGGGACTAGAAGGCCAAAGGGAAGGGCGGGGTAGGGGGAGAAGAGGAGGCCAGAGCCAAGGAAGCCACAGTCTCAGCCCTCTGACTTGGCACCGCTACAGTCCCAGGCTTTCAGGTGTATTAGATGGGGGCATAAGCTCTCCAGCCTCAGTACGTAAGGTTCCAGGTAGGGCCCTTTACAACAAGAGGACCAGGAGCTAATTAGTCAAACTAGTACAAGGTTTATAAAAGAAGTAGGAGGTTTTGACACTATGAGAGTGATCCAACTGTTGATTAGCTAAGAATACCAAATTCCTCAGTAACAAATGGTTTCCAGCAGTTAGGTTTATCAGGACACAAATTCAGCAATTAGAGAGGAGCTTTAGAACTTACGGGGGGGGGAGTGGAGAAGATTTAGAGTAATTGTATAAAGAGAAACCCACAGTCCAGCAAAGGGAGCTTGGGGTTGTCTCTGTCATACAAGAACTCGGGAAGGAAGACGGACCATGGCTGATTTAAATCCAGCCACGTCTGTCCACTCTGGCTAAGCCCATATTGGCTTGGAGTCTGTCACCCCTTAAGGAGGTAGAAGGGGTACAAGGATGAGGTCAGGCCTCCAGAAGGCAAATTGGGGAACTGGCTGCTTCCCTCTCACGTTCATAAGACAAATGGTCACTTTTCAGTGGAAAGTCACTCCAAAGTTGGAATATGGCTGGCCAGTGTCTTGGACAGGCATCCTCAAGGACAGGGGTCTTGTGAGGTGGCCGCACGCTGATGCTTTTCTCATTTGTGCTCCTGCTGGCAGGCAGGAGCTTGGCTTTGAAGCCAGAGAACATCTTCCTGCAGCTGCTGCCTCGCCTCGTCTCTGGGGGTGCTTCCAAAACGAGCCCTTTGCCTCCTGCCATCCAACCTCATTGACAATAAAAGGGCCTCTTCCTGGGATGACATTAGCTCATTTCTCACATGGGCACCAGCCCAGGCAGGCTGGACAATGAGAGCCTGTCAGGCTGCACAGGCTGTGGCTGAGGGGGCAGGAAGGCCAGCAAGAAAGACACAGGTGTGCTGCAGAAGCACTCTGGACACTGTCCCGCACTCAGTGCCACTTCCCCCCAGGGGCCACTACAGCAGATGGTTTTGCTTCTTTTGAAGCTGAGGACACTTCAGTCGCCACTGGGCCTTGAGGTACAACTGCTTCTTATGACAACGGGCACTCCTTGAGCCAGAGGAACCAACAAAGCAAAGAGCCTTTTGCAACCCAAGGGTTTTACATTGCTCTTTTGACTTGTGTTTATCAATCAACAAGTATTTATGGAAAGCCTACTCAGATGGTCCAGAGTTCTGGGAGACCCAAGAGAAGTTACAGGTCTCTGCCCTCAAAGAGCTTCCAGTCTAACTGGGGGAGAAAAGACAAGTGTACACTGAACAAGGGAAATAGAGGTCTGTAACTAAGTTCCAACTTGTGTGTTCAGAGGAAGGAAGGGATGGAGAAGCCGGAGAAGGCTCCAGGCTCCAGGCTCCAGGAGGCAGTGGAGATTGCGGCTGACTGGCCAGGAAAGGGCTGAGTTGGGGAGAGAGAAAATAACCCAAGCTCTATCCATGGATGTGCCCAGTCTTCCTACAGGGGGGCCAGCTATTTACAGCCACAGGTGTGTCTCTAGATGTGACTAGAGCACATTCCTTCCTGGGTTGTCCCTAACTAAACCGGACTGACTGTCCCTACCTGCCTTCTCCCTCAATTCTGCAAGGAGTCCTTTCCTCACACTGGCTGAGCCTTCCCAGGCATCTTGGGCCAGGGGAGGAACAGCTCCATGAATGGGCCAGAAGGCCATTTTACAATTCAAATACAAGTTGTTCCTTCCCTCCTGGGGTTTATATCTTTCAGTGTCTGCAGCTCAGTCCCTCTGAAATTTGCTAAGTGCCTGGAGACTTGGGAGTGACACTGAAGGCAAGCAATGATGGATGACAGGAGCTCAGCTGTCCATGGGTCACATGACTACCCTCCTGGGGGAAACAGGCAATTTGACTTTGAAAGATGTTTCTGGTCCCTTCAAACAGGACAACCCTGAACAAATTATGAAGCATCCAAAGCTTAGCCCCCTCCAGCTGTGTTTCTGAGACCTGCTATTTTCTTCTGTTGTTGGCCCCAAAGGCACCCTTCATCCTTTGCCAGGCTTGCCCTCTCCATTCAGTAACACAGGTAAAGGCCTTGCCTTTCTTTTACACCTAGTGATAACAACACTTTATATCCACGTGGTTCTTTTCATTTTTACACCCATTACCTCATTTGAGAAAAGGCGCTTTCACATCCATTAGCTCCTCATAGCCTGTAACTCTCCTGCCAAGTAGGCTAGGTGACCGCCCCTCCTCCATCCCAGTCTCCAAGGTGAGAGCTGAAGAAGCAGAGACTCACAGAGGCTACGCACATCAGGGGCTCAGCTAGAGCCAAATCTCTCAGACAGGACCCACATCGCAGCACTCCCCCCTGCACCCACTCGGGGGCCTGCACTCTCTGGCTCTCCAGAGTCCCCACTGCAGGGCTGCCCCAACACGACAGCCAGCAGCACTTCATATCCTGGCCTGGCCTGGACGCTCGGCCCTCATCATAATTAACCTGTCTCTGAGCCCGATATTCCATGTTGTTGGAAGAATAAAATGAGATCATGGCTACAGAAGCACTCAGGAAGGTTAAACATATCACACCAATGTAGAGGTGACAATATTACTGGTAGCACTTATTCAGGGTGGTCAGGGGAACACAGAAAAGGAGCCGATGATAAAGTTCACCCACTTCATACAGCCCGGGCCCTTCCCTTGTTAACTCCTCGCTTCTGAGAGACAGCCTCACAATGCACTCCATTCTCTCCTGTTCCAGGCTGCTCTTTTCCCAACCCAACGGTCAGACAACCTGGCTCCCTCTGGATGCCCTGACTCCTCTGTGGGCGAAAGTGCTCCCCACCTCTCTGTCCAAAGAGGACAGCTCGGGCTCATGTTAACCACTGTTGCTAGGCAGGATGTGGCTAAAGGACACACACGAAATAAGATGGAATGGTTCTAAGCTGGTACTCTCCCCCCTTCCACTCTTGGGCAGGAAGATAAAAATGTAACAAGTTACATTTCCTAGCACAGCTTTTACTTCTCCATCCCTCCTTGCCTTTGGCTCCTTTTTCTTTACATTTGGTTGATTCCTTGGGGAGTCTTGTCATTCTCCCTTTGAGACTGGCAGGATTTGGAACCATGTGGGGCCAATTAGCCCTCTGATTCCAGTAACAGGAGACTTGCTCTCGCTCCAGAGATCCAGCATGGCAGGCTAGCAGCTGGGCTCCCATGAGATGCCATGTTCTCCTGGTAGCAGAGATGGCAGCCCTATATCTGGGGCTTGAGTAGCTGTTCTGGGTGCCCTCTTGTAAGGAGCTTGGACACTAGCCCTTCTACTTATAAAAAAAACAAAGCCCTCACCTGTTACTTCAACTAGCTGTTCCTTATTCCAGCAGTGCTGCCCGGGCTTTAAAGTACATACTAATTACCTGGGCGTATTGCTAAACTGATTCTGATCCAGTAGGTTTGGAGCAAGGTTTGTGATTCTAACAAATTCTAGGGTGGTGCCCGTGCTCCTGGACCACAGACTACGCTTTGAGAAGCAAGGATTTTAAAGAATGCTATTCTTAGACAATGAGAGAGCCACAGTCAGGTGGGAGGACTGAGGTACTTTTATTCCACTGGGTCATGGCATTGAAGGCCCCAGTTAAAACAAATGTTATCTTTTGTGGACACATAAATTCATGCAAACAAAGGACTCGCTGGTTGAACCAGACTTACCTCAGGAGAGAATGGGGAAGGTCTGGAATGGATACGAAGTAAGAGAGGTACGTTTGCACTGGGGAGAGGCAGAGAAAAGATCTGGGGGGGGGACTGTTCCAGGGGTGGGAAGCTGTGGCCTTAAGCCCACGTGGCCCTCTAGATCTCTAAGTGTGGCCTTTTGACTGAATCCAAATTTTACAGAACAAATCCTTTTATTTTGTTTTTCTCTCTCAAATCTCAAGTCCTCCACAACCTGCTGATGGGGTGGGCATTCTCTCTACTTGCCAG